GATGAAGCAGCTTTGATTTATCTGTACACGATAGAGTGCACTGGCGAAAATAAAAGTCTCTATTCCGTTCTCAATTACACTCTCAAAACAGCTAATCGTGAAGACTTACGACTGTGGTTCAAATACATGAAAGTTTTTCTCACTGCCCTAGCCAAAGTACCCGGCGCGCCTCCTCAGACCGTCTGGCGTGGGGTACGAAAAAATCTTAGTGACGAATTTCCGCCTGGAGCTCAAGTGACATGGTGGGCTTTCTCATCGTGCACAATAACACTCACTGTGCTAGAGAGCAGTTTGTACTTGGGCAATACGGGCGAAAGAAGCCTCTTCTCCATCGAAGTTTTCAGTGGCAGAAACATATGCGCTCATTCATGTTTTGACACGGAGGACGAACTTCTAATACTACCGGGAACATACATGGAAATACAATCACAATCTGGCGCCCGATCTGCATATCATTCATTTGAAACAGAAGCTGCCGGAGGAAATGCTACTTGTACATCCATTCGAAGGTATTTTGAACATCTTCAATAGTGTGTAAATAGACTTTCTTTGATAATTCTTCTTCGCCAGTTTGTTTCAAGAGCTAGAGTCTCACATTGTGTAAAATCAAATGTATGCTTTTCTTTATTAGTATGCTTAGCTACCTACATTCGAGGACTCGGTTTGTTTTCTGATGTCCGATTGATGTTCCCTCATTCTAGTTTCCTTTTCTCTACCGGTTTCTCCAATGTAACATTTTTCACAATTCAAGCATGGTATCTTATATACTAATTTCTTTTTCTTTTTTGATTCATCTAGTCCTTTTTGGATGGGAAGAAATACACTTTTGATTGTAAAAGTTTTTCTGAAGCATACATTAATTTCTATAAGCGGTAGATGTTTTTCACATAAAAAATCCTGAGCATAAAATTAATAGATTCTCAACAAATAAACCATTAATATGGATTAGATATGTAGACGATATATTCTGTATTTTTAAAAAACAACAAAATATTAATTACTTTTTAACAAGAATTAATAAGTGGCATCCTAATATAAAATTTACAATTGAACATGAATGGAACGAAAAGTTGACCTTCTTAGACGTACTAATAAGCCGAGATAATATAAATAATAAATATAATACCACGGTATACAGAAAACCTACCAATACCAATTTGTACTTACTATATGAAAGTAATCAATGCATAGAATATAAATTAGGTTTAATTCGAACGTTAGTCATTCGCATACTTCTAATTTGTTCAACAGATGAATTAAAGAATAATGAACTTAAATTAATGAAAGAAACCTTAACAATGAATGATTATCCACAACACTTAATTAAAAGGGGCATGCGTGAAGGAGAAATAATCACTAAAAGAATGATATCTAAACAACAACAAACACAACAATCGTCAAAAAAGAAAAAAGTCTACTTTCTTCTCTCCTATTATGGTCGAGAATCAACCATATTAGCTCATAGAATTAAACGAATATGTTAAAAATCTATTATGATTTTTGTAGCAGTGTTATACTCAATAATTTCTAAATGCCATTTCTAGACTAAGATCATTTTTTTTCCGTAATTATAAAAGTGATCACAATTACGAATGAGTCAAAAAGAATACTTCGAAAGCTGTATATAGAATGGTTTCTTTATATATGAATGTAACCGAAGAAAAACTGTATTCTTTCTTTGTCATTTGTTTTTTTATTTTGGTATACAACTTTCTTAGTGTTCTTTTCATTTAAGTGTTTATTTTGTCAATGCTGTTCAAGATGAAAAGAAGCTTTTCTTTTTTCTTCCTTTAAGGGAAAAATATTATATGGCTTAAATAAGTACAAACCCTTATACATGACAATATTCGTTTTCAAAAAAAAAAGAAGACAGTAGAAGAAAGTGTGCAGTTGAAAAAAGTACAGTAAAGTTTTTATAGCAAAATGGATTCTTTGTTCGGTACTGCGGGTGATCGTCTCAGTCATCCTAAAGATATTGATATCATGCTTAATGAAGGCGAAATTGACGATGAAAATGACTTAATTTTCACTCCAGCTTGCGATATTTTTGTTCGTGTTAAATGGCATCATGATTCAAAACTTCCTCATGGTTATGATAATGAAGGTGTATGTTGCATCAATGGTTATGAAATGAAACAAAAAATGTGTGTAGATACACAAGATGGTTCACTACTATCACAGATGCTGTCAATTTTATCTGTGAAACAAGAAGTACATGTAGAAACAGTAGCCATTCAACGAAAAACACTATTTAATAAACGTTGTTTATCGGAAGATTTTGGAAAACAGTTTGGTGAAGCATTAGATGCAGCGATATCATCACGTTCACCTTCAAAATCCCATTTTCTTCACCTGTACAATCGATTTAAAAATGAGATTGATAAACTATTCCCTGAAAATAATAATTTTGAAAATGAATCAGAGGGTAAAAATAAAGTATGGCCTTTGTTTTATATTGAAATACCCTTTATGTACTCTGCTCCATGTTACGGTATTCGAATGAGAAGAGACTATCGAGACCAAATATGTTCATCGATTGCTTTCTATCAAAAATATAAACATTTAGTTAATGCAGATCTAGCGAAACGATTATTTGAAAAGTTATTATACACGGCCTTCAGTTATGAAAATGATATTGTTCTCGGATTAAAATTGAACTTTGGCCCAAAAATGTTCAACCCTTTTTAAAACGTTTACAAATGACAAAACCGGATATTTATGAAGAAATAAAGACTATTCATATGCACCTTCACAGTGGGCATTTTTTGCTAGAGCAAGCGGACTTTAGCTTTATGAGTGAACTAAAATTTCATGAACCATCTTTTTATAGGTTTTTCATGATCCTCTTTCTAATGGCATGAGAGTTGGGTTTTAA